CAGTGAGTGCTTGTAATTTAATATGAACTTTATACCATAGCAATAAAGCTCAAATTGACTACGTTTTAGTTACAAATCATTTGTATGGGAAAAAGAAAAGGGCTATTTTTAGGGTTTTTCCAGCAATAATTCTAATTTTTCTCGCCGTAAAAACCATCCTTGAACTTCAACGAACATTTTAAAAAAAGATTTGGCCAAATTGGTCGAGGCGTTGTTGAGTTATGCGCTTACCAACACATTTTGCGATTCATTTTTATATATAAGATAAACGTGCTAGATGTAATCCTAATTAAACGGTAATAAGATTTAATTTTATGCATCTAAACTAATGGCTGCCTGTTGGAGTCAAAAGTCCATTACGTACATTCACTTTATACACTACTATTACTACTACGCCGACTACTCGTGAAATTAACTTATTTCTATCTAAGAGTTATATTTAATCTTAAGCAAAAAATATGAATTTCAATGAAATCAAAGAAAATCCTAATAAAACCAGTAGTCGGCCGCTTCAAGCCGAGCACTGGATCAATCTAATAAAACACTACATCCAGTAGTCGCCCACCTAATTATAATGTAATAAACAAATCAAATGCCTCTAACGCCTAACTCAATTAAAAGACAAAACATTTTATATTAATATAACATATGATCCACCAGAATTTACAGCAAACTCGTAAAGAAACTTACCTTATTCTTGAACACGTATCCTTATGAAAATGTTAGGTGACGTTTTCGGTCATGTCGTTGGCGGCAGTGAAGATAAACATCCTTTAGATTCGAAGGCGTGCGCATTAGCTAGTAAGGGAGCATAGATTTAGTCTAGATGTCATTTCAATAGTATAAAACCTAGTTCAGCCTCCAAAGATTTCTTGAGCGACTCAATATTTGGGTGATACTTAGAGCAGCCCATGCCATTTAGCACAAACCACAATTTATAGTCCAAAGGGCTTAAGTCCGGACTAGCCGAAGGATAATCATCATCACTTCATTTTTGAATAAGGTGTTGTTGACAGGTTTAACTACCGTTTCTAACACGGTATCTTGTTACACTTTGACTGAAATCTTGGTAGGAGACACCCCACCAAACCATGACGTATGCTGGATGATGGATTCGCTGATCTTTGGCTACTACCTCGGAAGCTTCTTTAGAGCACTACATTACACTCGATCATTTTGTTTGTTGTAGTACTCCTCGACTTAGATAGAATATCTCCTATCCGCCTCGATAGAATTTCTCTGTGTTTTTTGTCAGCGTATGTTTTAATTTTTCGACTCTCTTTTGTTTTAGTGCCTGATTTAAGGTATGTCCTGTATATCTCCGGTAAGCCCTTAGACCTAAGTCTTGTTTGATAATTCGAGACAATGTCATCGGTGAGATTCTCATTTCTCTGGAAAGGATTTTCTGCTTCCTTATGAGATTTCGACAAATTCTATCTTTGACTGCATTAACGCCCTGGTTTGTTCAAATAGACCTCCGTCGATCGGATCTTTCACGGTCATCAACAAACATGGTTTCAGTGTACCTTTGGAAGGTACGATACACAACCATTCGGCTAATCCTTAGCTTTTCAATCTATCAAAAATGTCGGCTGACGAATTACCTATACCTTTTACTCTCAGTGCCCCAATCTATTTTAAAAACAAATAATTTCTAAACAAAAAACATTCAATAATGGCAATAATGGCGGGAAAGAAGTTATTTTTTTTATCGTAGAAGCTTATGTTCGAAATTCAAATAAATGTCTTTTTTAATGTGAACAGTCAATAACAGAATGTATATGAATGTGTATGGCTAGACTAGTTAGCGCTATAAATTTTCTAATACATCTGGCATTTTCTACTGCAAAGTATATATTATTCTTAGTAATATTTTGTCAGAAATGAACTACGAAGTTTTGTCATTTGATATGCATACCGTTGCACATCAGGTTACCACTATATGTCATACTCCAGTTGATTATAAACTCTACCTAGAAAACATTAAGGTTTAAAATCAAGTGGAGAAATTAGACAGGTTTGTTTGACCTGACATATAAAACATAAGATAATATAAAAAAAAATTATGATCGACTCGATTTTTTTTATTCATGCATGATTTCATAATATCGTGTATATAGCTGTAAATAAACTCAAGAAAATAAAGATGAATACAGAAACTTACTTTTTATATGAGTATGGAAAATGCTGTAGTTTTTTATTCGCCCTTTCCTTGAAACTTGGCTGAATCTAAAATTTTCTTTTACCAACTAAATAGCACGTCTTTCTAGAGATTGAAAGTTTTATTTTATACTAGCTTTATAATAAGTCGCGGAAATTTCATCTGCATAGAATTAGTATTTCCAGTAACCTATTCTTGACCGGACTTTCATAAATATTTTTCTGTTTTCTCTACTTAAACGATTAATTTAAAAACTTCTCAGTGATTTTAATGTGAAAAGTTATATTTCATGATAAGAATGTCAGTGAATTCATATTTCCTATTTCAATTTTCTTTCCCCTTGAGGATAGTTTTCTCTATACTACTATAGGTTTTATTAATACAAGTTTTTGGTTCTTAATTTAGGATCTAAGCAATTTGTGTGATGTACTTACATAAAAAAAATATTGTCTTTTTCTTATGCAGGCCTTTTTAAGATGTACAAAAATAGAAACTTCAATTCAAATAAAATACAGATAAATTTTGTTAAAAACAATTATTATTTATTTATTGCGAAGAAAATCTTCGTGTCGTAGTTGAAACACTTATGTAGACGGAAACAGTCCTGATTTGTGCAACGTGGGAGGTGGCGGAGTCACTACTCCATTTAAAAAATATACCTATGCAGGAAGAAAGTAATAATTGTGAGCTATACGGAGCTTTATCGCCATCTATTTTGTAGTACGATTGATTGCCCTTACTTAGCTTAGGTACAACAAAACGGTGTTACATGCCACACCATGCGTGTCACTATTGATTTAAAGGAAAAGTTTGGTGGACGAATAATTTCCCAAATGGACCCGTGAATTAGCTTCTAAAAGCATTCGATTTGACACCAATGGATTATTTTATGTGGAACTCCATGATCACTTACACGTAGCCGATATGAAAAGAGCATGAGCCACTTTATTACTCTATAATAATGACCGTCATACAAAAAGTCATTCAAAATTGGACTTCCCGTTTGGACTTCCTCCGAGCCCAGCAGATAATCATATGTAGAAACTTATATACAAACGTTAAATTCTCGTGTAATTTGAATGAATTTGGAACTTCTTATAGAGTAGTATGTTTATGAGCTACTTGCTGTTGACCCTCGATTTCGCACTCTTAAATTATAGCCTATGTCAACCCTGTATAATAAATAATAAAATTTAATAATCGGTCCAGTCGTTTTGGAGTCTATTCGATTCAAACAAACAAAGAATAAAATATTTTCTTTAGCTATAGATTGACAGTTTTTATACCATTAAGATTTTCGTCTATTGGTTAAAATTATTTAAGTTATACTCAAGTAAGTACTACTTCTCGATTATAATAGATACGAGTGCATGTTGTTCTCGCTATCAAAGAATACATATTACCGAGGTCACATACATACTATTTCCAAACCAAATAAGTTTAGTGGTTCAAGTTTGAAAGAGTAACTGATAGACACACAGCAGAAACAAAGAGAGAAAGTGAGATTTTGGTTCTTCAATCCTGATTACTATTTTATACAGTAATTAATAATGTAGTTTTACCTTTATTTCACTTTAGCTACTTTTTACATGTAGGTTATTTTATAAATCTACATATGTCTATGTCATAGGTTATGTCTAAAACTAACTGGAAAAAAACAGGTCGTTTCAAATTTTCAGTCTCTATTATTCCGTCCGGTTCTAGCAAAGTTTTTGATAAGCTACAATTATATTGATTTTTTTTACCTTTTTCTTTGTATTTATTTTACTAGATGTTATTATTAGTTTAACATAAATTAATTGTATATTATTTTTAGAATTTCTTAGTATTCCTCGACCCATACTTTTATGATTACTATGTATGCCGCTAATGTAATATTTTCGCACATAGTTGTACATAATACATATATTTTTTATGTATAACATTACCTATTAATATTTTAAATTATCACAAGCTGATTCAAGAAACAAGCTATTAGTTCAGAATATTCTCTATAAAAGTAATTTTCTCAAAATATAGATATTGCTAAAACATTTTAAAAAGTCGACATTTATTTCTGTGATTTAAATATAAACTTACATATTTTAAACTTCAGTATTTACAATAAAATAAAAAAAGAGGTCGGGGTTTTACTTTGTCCATTTAACATGTTTTTCCTAACTTCGTTTTGGGCGATAATCCTCTTCGACCTTCAACATTAGTATGACCAAGGTCATAGACAGGAGTCCCTTCGTTTCGCTTTATATTCGAGGAGAGTCTGGCAAATAATTGAATGACGTTGAAGAAAATTACTACTTTAATAATGTGACTTTGAAGCGCGGTACTGGTTTCTCATTGGGCAATGTGCAATTGTATATTCTGTAGAGTGAAATGATTAATGATATGTAAACTGTTAATTTACGTGTAGCTCCCTCTGTTGGACTATGTTACAATTTTAGCGGTATTTTCAATTCAATCACATTGTGGAAGGTAGTACGTTGTTTTTACGAGGTTCCGTCAATAGATAATGGATGGCGCTATATTATCAATGTTATTTACGGTAGATGTTTACCGATTCTTAGGTTCTATCAGTTTTCCTTTTAATATTAGTTTTATAGTGCGTACCTGTGTGTATGTGATGTTTCAATTATTTCAATGGCTGTTTTACCGTTGTAGGTATTCAAGAGAATTCTCCGTTTACGTATGTTTTATTTGTTTTTTTTTTCTTGATTTCAATAAATTCAATTGTTGATAGCTCGCTACACTCGATTTATCGGATCTTTTTATAATTGTTTGATTACTATGAAAGATTCTTAACTGATAACCCGGCATGAAGACTAATAAAATTTATTGTTCTCAGCAAGCGGAGATGACATGGGTGGTAGCGGAGCACACGGCCGGCGGTGCGGGAGAGTTGTCAGTGGCCAAGGGACAGCAAGTTGAGGTGGTAGAACCTTGGGCCGCACGCGCCGACTGGTGGATAGTACGTGCGCCCGGGGAAACCTCTCAGGAGGGTGCTGTACCGGCGCACGTACTAAAACCGCAGCCTCAACCTAAAACGTCGCCTTCACGACGCCCTTTGAGTCAGCCCTGCGACGAAGGTCTAGGTTAGTGACGCATGTTTTTTTTTTTCAACTTTTATTTGATATGGTTTCGATTGTTGAGTTTTAAAATTTTTGTAACTACTCACATATATATGTTATTAATTTCTATGTTCACGAATGATAAGTGTGACATTGTAAGAAAAGTAAGATAATCGTTCATACATCAGAAATTACGTCTCACGTATTTTCTATCCATTGTTGGGTGTTAGGTAGAATCATTTTATTATAATGGTTATCTAGGAACAGTCGTAAAGACAAAATTTATTAATGGTTTTAAAAATCATCTGTGCTATTTTATTTAAAAGCAAAATAAATAAAAATCAATGACACGTGCATTGTGAAACCTATTTGTCCTCTTCACTCTCCAGTGAAATTCTCCAAAATCGTTTAAAATGATTAAAATACCGTTTTCAGCTAATGCTTCATTTACAACTCATATATTTTTAACCTTTGTAAAAAATTTGGATTTATACTTGGCCAACAAAGATCACAAATCATATCCAGTTCATTTATTGAAATATGTACTTTAACTCGCATTTTTATCTAAGTCACTTTCCCAATGCATATCATATGAGAAGTCATTTTAGCGGATAAGAACATCGTAGTTCGAATTATACTGATCTATGTAAGTTTCAACCCAGTTAGTCTCGATATGTAAGAAAGATAAATAAATTCGATTATTTATGATATTAAGGCATATATTTGTTCTTGTCCGATTTATTTGTTTGAACTCGTCAATGTCTGTTGACACAATAAAAAATATCATTCATCGACCCTATTGTTGGGCATAAGAAAAGCGTCGTTTATTCGGTGTCTGAGTAAACAAGTAGACTGTGTTTAACGGGGCGGGCGTGATTAGGAAGGCTCGTGGGCGGCATTTAATATGTCTCGACATTAGCCGCTGGGCACACAGACTTCACTACACAGCGTTGTCTTGGGACCGTACTAATCTAGTATATTTGTTGCCACAATAACTAAAGCATATTTCAAAACTTATTCCAAATTGCTTTCTTATGTAAGGCAAGGACAACAGGATTATGGTTTACCAGAATATTATTAGCGCTTTTATATGAAAATAAATGTTTTTAAATTGATTGACGATTTTATATTAATAAAAAGTCACTAAAATTTGCATTTTTTTTTATCAGTATATATCAGGTAATTCTCAACTTATCAAAATTATACTGTAATATATATATATGAAAACAATCATCATCGGTCTTTTTACGTACCCACTGCAGGAGCTCAGGTCTGCCTTATGTATGGTTAAGGAGGATAAGCCTTGACCCTCCACGCTGGCCCAATGCGGATTGGAAGGTATCAAAGACTGCAAAATGCAGCCGGGGCCAACAGTTTAACGTGCCTTCCGAAGCACGGAGAAGCTCGAGATAATAATTTTTGATTACCCATCCCGTGACCGAAAGTTGCTTAACAGTAATGAGCGAGGGCTGCGGCGCTTATTCACTACGCCACCTAGCAACCATTTCTTTTTTGTGTGAACAAAACGAGCTTTAACTTTTTTTAAACTGTTGCGAATAAGTTGTTATTGTTAAAAAATATCAAATCAACCCTTGTATATTGATATTACGATTATGTATATGTATGAATTTTATTATAAATTAATCGGCAATAACGTCGTCAGTCTCTTCCCAACTATCCGAGGTTACAAGAGTAAACCCATTTATTACAAAAAAGCGAACGTATTATACGAACCCACGTATCTCTAACATAGCAGAAATATTTTTTATAAATGTTAATTTTGTAGGCATTTCATTAATTAGTAAAGAGACTTTTTGACAATACATCTCTTCAACACAAAGGCTTATAGTTTTAAAGGACGCGAATTGGAAACGCTCCTCATAAACTTTAAAATGCCATTAATGTTATAATACTATGATTTGCAGATGGATACACCTCGAAACAACTTAGAAAGTATGATAAAAGTTCATAACTTTGAGTTTTTTTTTTCAAAAATATTTAAACCATTATTTTATGTACAAGACTAATTTATAAGCAAGAAGTCTATTAGAATATGTGAATTTCACAGTAAAAGTGCTATGTTGTCAGTTTATAGCTAACGGGGGTAACGAAGATAACAATAACCTTCATTTGGGATTGTGGGACAGAGAGGCGTATATATATTCTTGTTTCTCCTGTGCCATCACAGCCTTCACCTATTATGCATAAATATGTAGAACCTATATAAAAATGTTTTATGCACCACTGCCTTCGAATACGTACTAACGCGAACAGCTTTCCGTGTGAATAAACTAAATAAAGCAAGATATTAATTTCATTATTAACACAGCTGATCTGTGAATTAAAATTAATTTTCTGTTCACTGAAATAAATATTAGACGATTCGTGAATAGTACAGTAAAAGTATATAATCGTGAATATAAGAAATCTTATAAGTGTGAAAACATAACGAAATCTCGCCCACCGACCGGCGAAATAATTATATAAAATTACTAGTAGATGGTGCTTTAATTAGTTTGAGAACTTTCAATAACAATATAAAAAATATGAGCTTGAATTAATTTTTTATTATTATAAACTGTCAGATAGATTCAGTTACATGTATATTTGATCAGTTTACTTTTGTCTAGTTTTTCCATATGGCGTCAATGATTGATTAAAATTCATTTCCAATGCTTGAAATATGTTGATGTATTAATAATAAATTTTTGTTTACAAAAATTTGTTTACAAAAATGTATTATTTATAAAAATTTATTAATTAATACATCAAACATATTTCAAGTAATAAATTTTTGTAAGAATTTTTTTTTAATAGACTTCAAAATTAAAATGGGGGAGGTTATATGTTCGACGGTAAGGTTGAAAGTTATAACTTTTTTAAACTTTGAAGTATATTCTACTTTTGAAAAAAGTTTTACATGTAAGTTTGACAAATTTCAAGCTAAACAATGTATTTTGAATTTATAATATCTTAAATTACAAGTTCCAAAAATCTATAATTCATCAATGTAAATTGTATTATTTAGTCAGCTACAAATAATTCATGAATTTAAATAATGCATATTGAAACTGACTTGACTATTATATGACAAACAAGCTGTCCTTTACTACGCATCCGCCAGAGAGGAGACATAAATATTCTACCGTCATCTTTCTTCTCATTATGTATCTAGGTGTTAAACACCTAGTTAAATTTCTACTTACAGGGAGCCGTGTGTCTTACATACTCTATGTACAATAATTCTATGGTTAGAACGGAAATAAGATATTCCAAAGCTTCACTATTAATTCAAGTCCATTACTGTCTGCGATATTGACTTTGCTGAATAAACAATGGTGTTGACGTCGGATTGGTCACTAAAATTTCCTTATCTAGACTGCTAGACATTTTGGTATTATGTATTGTGTGCACATGCCAGATTCAAATTATATAACAATGTTAATTCAATAAAAAGACATTAATATCTCGTTAATTTCCTAAGTAATGGATTGATAAGAGCCGGCTACATTACAGTTAAACCGAATTTAGATTGTCCTTTCGGTTCGGCTAATTCTTTTGTTCGGTGATGTCGGTTACTTACGCATCGCAGGCAAGTGATCACCTTACCTCGTATGTACGCTTTACCTATATTTATAAGATTCTGTTATTCAGCAATAGGTATTTATGAATAAATGTATTTTCTTTATTATTATATCAAACTTTCAATATGTCCATCACTTTACAGAGAATCTAATCTATTTTTGAGATTTCTATCTTATACCTTTGCAAAATTAATTATGTACAAACGTAATTATGATTAAGTGTAGGGCTCATCTATAATTTAAGAATACATACTAATGGGACAGGGGGAAGAGGATGGAGTGTGACATGGTGTAACAAAGGATGAGGAGAAGCCCCACGTTTTGAGACGTCACATTTCAAAATTCATTCCATGCAATTGAAACTTTTCTTAAATTTCAAATGTTATATGACTCTGTCCAAAATAATTTAAAAAATAAGACTAATTTCAGAGCTTCTGCTTTGATTTAATATTTCTTTGTATTGAATTGCAAAGTGTGTATCGTCACAGTAGGGAGGCGGTGTCTCGCAGATGTGACCAGCTGTGACAAGAACGGGAAAGGGGTACAAAAATCTAATTCGCATTCTTTACTTATTCCCAGCGATTTCGTTTTTCATAAGTATAAATTAAAAATATAGTTAAATAATTAATGCATTAAAACTAATAATTGGCGCCGGTTACAGTAGCTTTAATATTTCGTTCTTCTCACGTGTATTACATTTTAAACATAAATATAGTGGCAGCAGTTCAGTAGAAACGCCATTGTATACAAAACCTGGACAAAGTATTAAGTCGACTTTATTTTATTTTCAATGCACTATTCAGGTATTCACAAAATTACGAATTGTATTCTGAAAACATCAAGCGTATCAAGTAGTACTTTAGTTTCAAATAGTGAAATGTTTTTTATTATAAAATGTAGTGAATATTAATAACTGTCTGTGTCCAACTAATATTTTATACTCGTAGTCCTCGACAAAGATGTGACTGATTTATGAAATTCAACATCGACATAAAAAAGTCTAAATTGAAATATATACTTTAATGAGAAACTAGTTTAAATATTTGAACATAAAAAAGAAACACTAAAGGTGACGTCAGCGTCAGAAAAATTGTGAAGTATGTATTAAAGAGACTAGATATCCACGCGATGAAAAAGTTTATCGGCATATATGTGGTTTGGGAGAAGGAAGGTCGAAAAAAAAGATGGATATACTATGTCAAAGATATTATGTCTCAGGAATGTGTGAATGTTGAGATGACGTTTAATCGAGAGGTATGGAACAAGAAAATATATTGCGCCGACCCTCAAGTGAAGTTGGGACCTGGGTAAGCGAATGATGATGAAATAGGTTCACGTCACCCATCTGTTAGTACGGCGAACGTTTTCGGGTCATGTTGACAGAGAAAAAATATAACTAGTTATTTTGTGAAAATGTATAGATTAAAATTTTACGTTTTA